CTAAATATAAAACTTGTGGCAAAGAGTTAGTTTTTAAATATGTTGGAAGTCGGGGGGGGGAGCAAGTTTGACTAGACACATATTGCTACACCCTCAAGATAAAGCTAGATATTTTCGTATAAAAGCTTTGGCCGAGGGGGCAAGTGCACCTAGTCAGGCTGACCTTAGTACCGGGTCAAATCAATTTCAACCAGGAATTAACACTGTTACTGGTTGTATTTTATATTATGATCCAAAAAAAGATCGGGAAGAATTGGCAAAAATGGTTATTGTTATGTGCTTACCCTATAGTTTTCCTTCTAACCCTCACTTTGTACATTATATTAGAAAAGTTTATAATCCTACTTATAAAGGTTTTCCTCGCANCCAACAAGAAGCCCGCGAAGCCCCGGACCGCTTAGGACCGGCCCATCTAGAACCGGGCCGCGAAGCCCACTTAGGACCGGGCCCGACCCACATGCCACCCCTAGTCTAGTCCTACTAATGAATCCTACCCGATACACGTGATTTTAATTTTCTGCCACATATGTGGAAGTCTACAACAAATAAATGCTAAATTTATGGGATGGGTCTGCTAACAATTGCAAATGCCTTGTCACGAAGGATTTGACTAATTTAATTGTACTCACAGTGTAATTGAATTTTTTTATATTATTAGCTGTGTATTTAAAATCGTTGTAATAATAATAATTTTTCGTTTTGAGTTATTAATTTTTCCTTCATGAATGACCATTTATAATTATCTTTTAAGTAATTTAAATGTATAAAAATTCAAAAATAATCATTTAATGTATATTTTAGATTTCTTTTAATGCGTTAGTTTAAAGGAATTAAACTCTGTCGTATCATAAAAGCCTTAGCCTCGTTTGGTACGAGGGATAAGAAATAATTAATCGTAGGATTAAATTTGAGATGAGTTTATCTCACGTTTGGTTGGAATAAAATCGTGATATAACTAATTTTGGGATTGTAATATTTTTTATCCTCATGAGTGAGTAGAATAACTAATTACCGGATAATTAATGATATAACTTGTTTCCTTACCTGAGTTAAAACCACTAAGATAGATAAGAAACAAACTCTGGCAATTAATAGATACCTGCCTGAAAGTTTCAATTTCGAACGCTATAGCAACATGCTATTATCTCGAAACCCTAATACAGAAAAGAAAAATAGAAATAGAAATTAGCTGGAAAGTTGAACAGAGTAAGAGTTAGAGGCGCATGTAGTGTTATAGAACCAATTCATCCGAACCCAATACTTTCGAAACGGAGTATAAAATTAGTATAAAAATTCACCAAAATTGCAGCATATAATGGGTCTGAACCCATAACTTTAAAAATATAATATGTTCAATACAAGAACCGTAAATGGTGAACCCATAAAATTAAAATTATGGACCCGCCTCTAATAAGAGTAGTATCTCTAACCAAAATTTTACACTCCCGGTGGTAAAGTCCACCACCCAAAACACTAACATTGCCGTAAATCTAAGAAGGATTTCACTCATACAAAGTGTAGAAAAACTTTAAGTTAATATTTTATCCGGTTATAACAAATACTAACAGATAGTTGTTGGTTGTAGGCTTGTAGGTAATCTTAATCTGATGATTAAAAACATATGTACACAGGCAATGCACAAAATTGTCAAATTATAAACTCATCAAACAGTTAAATCTACTTTATTATTAGTATACATAATCAAGAAAAAAAACTATATAAGAGAATGAGAAAAGCCCTACCAGAATGATAATTTCCGGTTTTGGCGGCAGTTGTTTGTGGCGTTAAGTTCTCGTTGCAAAGATTATTCAGCTGCGACTTAATGTTATTCAAGAAGGCCGTGGCTTCATCAAATGGCTTTGACAGCTCCTCTTTGTATTTGTGTAGTATCCCACAATATGGTTCCTTCCACCAAAAAAAATTAAAAAACCCTCATTTATAAATGTGAATCTAAGCTACAAATGTTGTGTGCGTGTGTGTGAGAATACGTGTATGGTTTCTTCCAACTTTTTTTTTTACATATGAGATTTTCACCATAAATTCATCAAGTTCTGGATCAGTTCCAATTTCTGTGGGACAGCTGGTGATTATGCAATTCTCCATGCTGAGTATTGAAGTCATTTCTGGTGGTGCTCCAACCTTCATAAACAAAATGAAAGTAAGGTTTCTTTTTTTAAGTCATACATTCAAACACAGTAATGGAGACAAACATGGGAGAAGAACAGATACCAGTTACTGTGCATGAACACAGTGAAAGACACAATTACAAAAAAGATTACCTTTCGGCAGTCGATATAGGCAGACACTAAGTATTGATAAAGAGTATGATTAGCAATTTGAGCTTTAATAAGATCTGACATATTCCCCATGGCTTTTTCAGCTTCTTCTAATTCATGAACTACAATATTAATACTATTACTGTTATTATCGTAAAGTGGACCTGGACCATCTTGCTCATGTCTAGTTATTATATCTTCCAACAACATTGTTACTTGAATGAAGCTTGTATAATTAATTCATCCATCAACAGTAACAAGATGAGGTTTGCATTACTGCGCATAAGGAAAGAGCTACAGGAGAGAGAAGGGAAAAAAAAGTAGGGAAATGAATGACCGAAGGGAGAAGAAAAAGTCATCAGTTTGGTGCACGTTCTCGCATGCTGTAAAACAGTAACTATTGGTACGTACGCAATGCCAGCTGCAGTTCTTTAAGGAAACCATATTTCTTATTCTACGTACTGAGGCACAAACAAACCTCTTCAATTTTTTTGCTGCCAAACAGTAACTCTTGTACTTCATGCTACAGACTTTCGAGTAAACTATATTTCTACTTGAGGCACCAATTCATGATGGGTTTCTTTCCAGGGCTACTCACCGCACTCTCATGACTCACCCGACCCAATGTTGTTGAATTTAAGGATCCGACCCAGACCGTACTGAACAATCGAACTTAGGTCGATTTTCACATAAAATACTTATTCGCACTCGATCATACCAAAAGAGATGCAAGATATGTGCATATTAGGTAAGCATTAAACCATGTGTAACGAGACCAGCTATTTTAAGTTTTGGCATTACATTATGTGATTTGAGACTTCGAGCAGCTTCATATGATGCATTATGACTTATGTGCAGGGTTGGTTTTGATTTTTGAGTGATTCGGTGTTGATTTGATAGAGTGATTCTCACGTTGGAAGCTTTAAGTTGAAAGAGTTAACCAAGGTTTGACTTTTCAATAAACGATCTCGGAATCGAGATTTGATGGTTTCAATAGGTCCATATGGTGATTTTGGACTTGGACGTATGTTCGGATTTGAATTTGGATGTTTCTAGAAGGTTTTGGCTTTATTTGTCGAAAGTTGGCAATTTGAAGAAGTGGAAGTTCATAGGTTAGACCGGGAGTTGACTTCGGTATTATTGGACTCCTATTGCGGCTTTGAGACCTGGTATAAATCGATTGGTTGATTGGAACTTGTGTGCAATGTTTGGCTGTGAACCCGAATGGTTAAGTGTGATTCAGATACGTTCGGTGAAGTTTGAAGGTTTGAAAGTTAAGAGGATGATATTGATCTTCCATTCTCGCTTTTGATTTTATTTAAGATTTTTCGAGCTTTTGGATAAGTTTGGGTAATATATTTGGACTTATTGGTATGATTGGACAGTGTTCGAAGGGGCTCGGCAGAGTTTCGGGGTGATTTCGGACCATTTCAAACGATGTTAGCATCGCTGGTTGTCTGGTGTCTCTGATGTCCTTCCCGATCGTGAAGGACTAACCGCGTTCACGTAGTGATTTTTGGCATGCGGGATTTTTTTGTGCTCCGCATTCACATCAGTAGTTCGCGTTTGCGAATGGGATATGGACTGGAGGAACTTGGTTCTACGCGTTCGCGAATGGGAGGTCAGTTGTGCATCGCGAACGCGATAGTCTAGCCGCATTCACGAGGAAGGACTGGAGGGTCGGTGTGTTTTGTGCTTCATATTCGCGAAGTGTTGGCCGCGAATGCGATGAAGGAATTCGGCCAGGGGTATATTTTTTCCAGAAATTCTGGAATTTGCTCATTTTTAACTATTTGAGTTTCAGAGATCGGGAAGAGGCGATTTTGGAGAGGATTTTCACTACTACTTTGTGGGTAAGTAATTTATACTTGAATTTGATTATATAACTTGGTTTCCCCATGGATTTACACATTTTAATCATTACATTTTGAGAAACACTGGGATTTATCCCTACACTTTAAGAGAGTGTATTTTGGGGATTTAGTACCGATTTGAACTCGGTTTTGGAATCTAATCATATATTTGGACCCGACAGGTTATGGATCATTAGATTTTGGTATTAGTTCCAGATTTCTGGCACGCGAAGCTGGGTTAACGTTTGTTGACTTTTGGGAATTTTTTCAAAAATCGAAGCTTTATGAATTGGGTTCGTTTCTTATGTCATTGGTGGACTTCCCTAGTCGTTGTTTGGCTAGATTTGAGCTGGTTAGAGGTGATTTCTCAAGAAATATGATTTTGGAGCTTTGGACTAGCCCAGTTGAGGTAAGTATCTTGCCTAATCTTGTTGAGGGAACAACCCTTAGGAAATAACCTTGTTTGTTTAATTAAAATATGTAGATGTGACGTATATGCAAGGTGACACGCGTATATATGATTGCTATGTATGATTCATGACCGAAGTAGTCTTTAGGCTATACTATGCCTTGAATTGGATATCATGCTTTATATATTTGTATGACTATGTGAACTCCGTGAATCATGCTAGAGATCATGTGTAGGTATTGATTTCCTGTTTGAGTATGATATTTGCTATTGTATGGCGTATCCGCCTGATTTGAGTCGTAGTTGTACACTTCGCGTATGCATACGTCGTAGCATGCTGTTTTCCTCAGTCCATGAGTATATGATTGAATTTTCGCTAAACATATACGTATGTTCTTGTATATGCTTTTTATGTGATGGGACTGGTTTAGCAGCACATGAAAGGTCCGTGCAGGCTGAGTTATTATGGCGTGTGAGTTGTCCGTGCGGTTGTTATAATCTATGGTACGTGAGTTCTCAGTACGGTTATGGCATACGAGTTATCTGTGCAGCGTATGGATAAGGATCTATCACGATCACGCCCCAAAATCGAGGAGCGCGACCGGCACTCAACCGAGTAAACCCAGTCGAGCAAGCCTAATTTACATTAACCTCTCATCATTACTCATGCATGATTTACTATTACATAATAAGATCTTGACTTTCATATTAAATACACTTGGCTCATTGGCCCATATTTTCTTTCTCGTGGTGGTTACACAGCTCTATAAATAGTTGTAAATACTGTGAACATAAATACATGACAAAACTCAAATCTTTAATTACATGACCCACAGTGTACATGGAGCTTCTATGACAATAGATACCTAAGTACATAAAACCAACTAGACTCGAATGCCCACTGGAATTGTAGCGGGCTCACCATAATCTAATGCGCAGAAGATCCCTACCAAAGATCCATATCATCCTGTAAAAGTATACATATATCCATTAAAAGATGCAGCGCCCCCGGCAAAAGGGACGTGAGTACATGTGGAATAGTACTCGCATGTAAGGCATATAGAACAATATATGAAATCATGGTAATTCAAATAAGAGTCATATGAAGTACATCAAGAACTACGAAATATCCCATAGATTCACATTTCAAGTCTCATTATGCTTACTTCATTTTAAATTTTGTTTAGGATTAACTGAGACATACGAACTATGCGTGGAATTCATAATATAAAGTAATTAAAACAACATGTTCAAACAAGGCCAATGAAAATGGCACGTAATGTCTGTGTTAACAATGCGTCTCACTAGACTGTCCATATCCCTCTCTTATCTTACACTTATACATTACATAGACCGTCCTTAGTGTTGACATATCATATTAAACACTTATGTGTTTCATAGACCGTCCATAGGTTTCCATGGACAATACACATATGTGTTTCATAGACCGTTCATATGATTAACATATACCATACAATACCTGTGCGTTTCATAGACCATTCACAGTGTTTACTTACACAATACAACTGTGCGTTTCATAGACCGTTCACAGTGTTTACTTACACAATACACCTATGCGTTTCATACACCGTTCACAGTGTTTACACAATACACCTGTGCATTTCATAAACCGTTCACAGTGTTTACACAATACACATGTGCGTTTCATAGACCGTTCACAGTGTTTACTTACACAATACACCTATGCGTTTCATACACCGTTCACAGTGTTTACACAATACACCTGTGCATTTCATAAACCGTTCACAGTGTTTACACAATACACATGTGCGTTTCATAGACCGTTCACAGTGTTTACTTACACAATACACCTATGCGTTTCATACACCGTTCACAGTGTTTACACAATACACCTGTGCATTTCATAAACCGTTCACAGTGTTTACACAATACACATGTGCGTTTCATAGACCGTTCACAGTGTTTACTTACACAATACACCTATGCGTTTCATACACCGTTCACAGTGTTTACACAATACACCTGTGCATTTCATAAACCGTTCACAGTGTTTACACAATACACATGTGCGTTTCATAGACCGTTCACAGTGTTTACTTACACAATACACATGTGCTTTTCATAGACCGTTCACAGTGTTCATTCATATTATATTATACACCTATACGTTTCATATCCCGTCCATAGGGATCATACATATCATTATGCACATAACCATATATAAACTCAAAGCGACATGATTAATATTATATTAAGGTCGTAAGTTCCCGGATCATTGCAACATTTCATGTTCATGCTCATCATGGAGAAACATAGCTCATTACATTAGCATATGCATGGTAAATCAATAAGTCAATTTCAATGGCATATGAGCCCAATTTCTTTTCTTAAGGTTCATTATTATTTTAGCGTAGGACATCTCCCTTTCATATTGTTATTCACTCACTTGACATCTTGAGGTCATTAGCTAAGTTCATGATTCTTGAGGACTTAACATCGAAGTCATTTACATACATTATTTCAGAAGCATATAACTATAGTCGAAACCATTGGGACATACAACACCTCATAATTCTCATTTAGGCAAACGACCACATCTCATATTTATACTATCACTTCATTAGTACTTCCAACTGCTTACAATATCATTATTTCATTGGCTCCTTTTTTCCATACTTTCATTTCATTTCATTGGCGCTATTGGCCACCATCATAACATTCATCATTGGCACGGTGTCTACACTTTATATCCCCATCTCACTACTTTCACTTTCAAGCATCTTTATAGATTATCGACAACAAAGAATCTCTAACCACGAATTTTAGTACACCTATGAGGAATTAAGAGTCTTAGGCACATTGAGACTTCTTACACAATTTAGCATAATAGCCTTCGCTTGAAACACTACTTGGAGTCATAACATTTTATATCCAACTGATGCTTTGAACACATTCCCGAAGGATAA